AGGGGGCGGGGCCCAGGCCCACCTCCGTGATAGCTTTAAGGACACTGGTGCTGCAGCAGCAAATGTTAAAGATGCTTATATGTATTTTAAGGTGTTTTAAAGGTGCTTTTATTGTTTACTTTGTTGTACCACCGTGAATGGTGGTTTTTATCTATGTATTTTTGTTTTGTTCCGTTTTGTTTTGTTTTGTTTTGGGGTCGGACACTGAGTGGGGTGGGGATTGGTTTTGTTTGAGCATAATTGTTTTTGGTTGTTTTGTTTTGTTTTGTTTTCTACCTTGTAAATGGAGGTTAGTATGAGGCTTGGGATTGCTACCGTGATGGGGCGAGGGAGGTATGGCGGTGGGGGCAGATGTTATAGGCGAAGGGGATCGAGATACGGATATGCTCGTACCCCTTCCAATCTGCGCCCCATCCCGAGAGACGAGGGTAGGGTGAGCAAGGATTACTCACCTCCTTCACTGGTGTTGTGCAATGCCAGGTCTATAGGCAACAAAACCGCCACCCTGCGAGATTTCTTTATCTCGCTGGGGTCGACCTGGCTTGTGTGACGGAGACCTGGGTGCGCGAAGGGGTAACTGTTACCTTACGAGAGATGGCGCCCCCGGGTTTCTCCGTCCTCCACCAGTCACGGACTGTGGGCCGGGGGGGAGGGGTGGCAGTATTAATCCGGGAAGATTGTCCTTTCAGGGCTCTACCATTGCCATCGATCCCCGGCATTGAATGTGTTGGCCTAGTGTGGGGCTCCGAGGAGAGCTTGGCTGTCTGGCTGGTGTACCGGCCACCTAGCGCACCAGCAGCCACCCTGTCAGGCCTGCTGGAGGCGGTGGCCGGCTGGGCCTTGGAGTTCCCTAACCTATTGGTATTGGGAGACTTCAACTTCCATGCTGATGCCACTCCCTCCTCACAGGCTCTGGACCTGGTGTCTTCCATGGCGACACTAGGGCTCTCCCAGTTTGTTTCGGGCCCCACACATCAAGCAGGCCACACGCTGGATTTGATCTTTGGCGCCGGTATAGATGTGATCATGTCTCCTTCGATGAAGGTGCCATGGTCTGATCACTACGCTCTGAAAGCCAGGATTGACTTTCCACCCCCACCCTGCTTAGGTGGCGAGCCGATTTGGGCTCGCCCGCAGAGGCTGATGGACCCTGATAGATTCCGTCAAGCCTTGCGGGACCTTGCTCCCCCTGGCGACTCATTGATTGAGCTTGTTGAGGGCTGGAATACCCAGCTCCTGGCAGCCATCGATGAGATCGCACCTAAGCGCCCTCTGCGACCCCGCAGAAACCGGGCTCCCTGGTTTACCGAGGAGCTTCGGAAAATGAAGCGGGACCTCAGACGGCTAGAGCGAGTATGGCGGGGTGCCCGTGACGGAGCCTCAAGAACATCTTATAGGGTTTTTATGAAAACCTATGAGATGGCAGTGAAGGCCGCTAAGAAGTCTTACTTCTCGGCCTCCATTGCATCCGCTAGCTCTCGCCCGGCGCAATTATTTAGTATAATTCGGTCTTTAACGTCCCTTGAAGGACAGCCAAATTTAAATAACAATCTGGCACACAGCTGTGAGGCATTTGCGAGCTTTTTTGCGGAGAAGGTCCTGTTGCTCCGCCATGACCTCCCTGCCAACTTGGATACAATAAAGGAACTGGAGGCCCCTCGACTGTCCTCGGGTCCAGTATTGGACCACTTTGACCGGATATCTCCAGCTGATGTGGACAGATTCCTCCAAGCTGGAAAGCCCACCACCTGTCCTCTTGACCCGTGCCCGTCATGGCTAATTAGAGCGTGTCCAGACGAGGTGCGGGCCCCCCTGGGGGATATCATCAATTTGTCCCTTGGCACCGGGATATTCCCAGGGGAACTGAAGGAGGCGGTGGTGCGTCCGCACTTAAAGAAAACATCATTAGATCCCTTAGATCTATCCAATTACCGCCCGGTCTCGAATCTTCCATTCCTGGGTAAGGTGATTGAGAGAGCGGTTGCTGAACAGCTCAGTAGGTTTCTGGATGAAACATCTGCTCTGGATCCATTCCAGTCCGGCTTCCGCGCTGGGCATGGGACCGAGACGGCTCTGGTCGCCCTAACAGATGATCTCCGCAGGCAGCTGGATCGAGGCGGGTCGGGGCTGCTGATTCTTCTTGATCTGTCAGCAGCCTTTGACATGGTCGATCACGAACTCCTGGACCACCGCCTTGCCGACGTGGGGATCCAGGGCACAGTCCTTCAATGGCTGCGCTCGTTTCTCTCTGGTCGGGGACAGAGGGTGGCGCTTGGGGGGGAATTGTCATCGCGTCACTCCTTGGTGTGTGGAGTGCCTCAGGGTGCGATTCTCTCCCCAATGCTTTTTAACATCTTTATGCGCCCCCTCGCCCAGCTTGTCCGGAGTTTTGGGCTGGGTTGCCATCAGTATGCTGATGACACCCAACTCTATCTGTTGATGGATGGCCATCCTGACTCGGCCCCAGACACACTGACCAGATGTCTGGAAGCTGTGGCTGGATGGTTACGTGGGAGCCGGTTGAAGTTAAATCCTTCGAAGACAGAGGTCCTCTGGCTGGGGCGGGACGATATGGGATCGAGGGGGCAACTCCCATCTCTTGCGGGGGTGCAATTAGTGCCAGCACCATCCGTTAAGAGTTTGGGTGTAATCTTCGATACCTCCCTGTCTATGGAGGCGCAGATTACAGCTATAACAAAGGCGGCATTTTTTCATCTCCGCCAAGCTAAGCAGTTGGCCCCTTATCTCTCTCGCCCTGATCTAGCCACTGTGATCCATGCGACGGTCACCTCCAGACTGGATTATTGTAACTCGCTCTACGTGGGGCTGCCCTTGAAACTGACCCAGAAACTCCAGCGGGTGCAGAATGCCGCGGCGAGACTCCTTATGGGGTCTTCGCTGCGAGATCACATTCATCCGGTACTATACCAGCTGCACTGGCTCCCGGTGGAGTACAGGATCAGGTTTAAGGTGCTGGTTTTAACCTTTAAAGCCCTATACGGCCTAGGACCCTCGTACCTACGGGACCGCCTCTCCTGGTATGCCCCACAGAGAAACCTACGGTCTGCAAATAACAACATCCTCAAGGTCCCAGGCCTCAGAGAGGTTAGGCTGGCCTCAACTAGAGCCAGGGCCTTCTCGGCTGCGGCTCCAATCTGGTGGAATGCTCTGTCACAAGAGACTAGGGCCCTGCGGGACCTGACATCTTTCCGCAGGGCCTGCAAGACAGAGTTGTTCCACCAGGCCTTTGGTCAGGGCGCAGCCTGACTCCCTCCTCTGGCAACCTGCACAGAATTTTGCCTAATCGGTTGCCAACAATTTGATTTTAATTAATTTTATAATGAAATGTTTTTAGAATGTTTTTAGAATTTAACTGTTTGATTATTTGACTGTTGTTAGCCGCCCTGAGCCCGGCTTCGGCTGGGGAGGGCGGGATATAAATAAAATTTATTATTATTATTATTATTATTATTATTATTATTATTATTACCAAATGTAACAATTCACTGATAAATGTATCTATGTACTGGCTCGCTGGGGAAACTTCAGAAATTCATACACTGTATCTCTTTTGTTACACTTGATGGGTGTTTGGTGGAGGGCAAGGAGAACCATGGGGCAGGGTCCAGGATGCTCAGATTACTGCCACCAGACCTCCCCTTTCATGATGTAACCATGATGTATTAGTGATGTAGTTTGGGGGGGGTGTAACATGGGGATTAGCAGCTAATAAAAGTTTGGGTTCTCTTTTGTTCAGGGCTTCCATCTTGTTTCACCTGGTGGCAGGTGGGAGTCCTGTCATGACTGTCTTCAATAAAGACCAAGTCTACTGGCTGCTGTTTTGCTCTGGTATTCCTGGCTGGTGTCCTTGTTTTCTTTGTCCAAGGGAGCCCTCAGATTTCTCCGTTAACAAAGGTCAATAACTTCAACCCTAAACAAAGGTCAACAACTTTGGTCGGCCCTCATGCATGTTTACTTCATGAAATCTGGCCCTCTTTGAAAAGAGTTTGGACACCCCTGGCTTATAGGCCATGGCAGCCTCTTCATTTGCCTTCCCTTTCATATGGAAAAGCCAGCTTTTCGTTTCTCCCGGGTTTAGCCTCGCTGACTTTTGGCTCACCACTTCGTTGTGCTTTGTATTGTTGTAAACAAAAATTGCTCTTTTCCCTTATGGGGGTATCCAAGAGCCCATATAGAGTCCTTACATAGGTTCCCTATTGGTAGGAGAAAATAACAGAGGCCAACCAGAGAATATTGAGAAGCAAAGCAGCTAGTAAGCCTGATCTTTATTGATCTGCTGCAACAGGGTACTCCCTCACCCACAGGAGAGAGGAGGAACCCAGAACAATGGCGCGCAAGCCCTTATATGGACTTACATATACATCACAGAAGGGGTGTAACCTAAGACCACCCCTCAGATATCATCATACCTACATCACAGAAAAGGTGGTCTAAAACAGAAATTTGAATGTTGTTTATCTCCTGTCTGGCAGGTTACTTGATTGGATACCCTGGGGAGCCTGGCCAGTCTTTTGTAATGATAAATAGTTTCTGGGCCAGATCACAGGCTCACACCCTATTCATATTTTAAATGTGCCCTTAAGACAGGATTTGTGAGGAAAGAGACAATGGGGAGGTTTCCCACTCTGACCTTGCAGAGAAAACATTTGCTCAGTTTAGGAATCAAAATGGTTCCAGGTTGGTCTTCCTGTGCTGATCTATGTACGTGCTTGGTTGGTACACTTATGAACATTACCATATATCTAAGACCTCAAAATTCCTATCACAGTATCTTATCAGAAGGTCCCACAGCTAGTCCGCCGGTCTCCTTCAAACGGTGCATTTCCTGAGCGCTTCTTCAAAAAAGTAAGCAAGCCTTTGTGGCATCCGACGTGAGGAGCTGCGAAAGGGTTAAGGGGCTGAGCCGCAGTTTCCTTATCAGCTCTGCTGCGAAGGCAGGTTAAAGAATCTTTAACCTCTGTCTGCTAGGAGGAGGAAGTGTCACATGGCTTGTGGGGGGGTGGGAAGAGAGAGAGAGAGAAGTTAGTGTGGGTCATCACTTCAGCATCTGTTTCTCCATCTCACTCAGTTTTTCTGCTTCAATCCTGACTGGTGCTGGAGGGAACTCCCCCCCCCATCCGCCCAAATTTCCCGTTTCCAGTTACTGATAAAATGTCCCATGTTGCAGCGGAGGTACTTCAGTTGTTTTCAGATGACAGAGACTCCCCGGAGAGAGAGGTGCTGAGTTAACACCCAGGACGATCGGATCCGAGCACATAAGTTTTGACAGGACGGATCTTAACAAAAACAGCAAGTAAGTTCCTCTTGTTACAAAGTCTTTCTCTTTCTGGTGCTTCCTCTACGTACTTGCTTTCCTACCTCGCTTACAGGTCGCCCCTGATCTGTCCCCCTCCCCCTTTCCTTTTCCTTTTTTCCCCTCCCGGAGAAGAGCGCAATCGATGGATCCGTTTCAACGTTTTGTCACCGTTTGGACGCCCATGTTAATACAACCTAAAAACACAGGCTACCCATTAGGAAAGGCGCAAACAAGAGCAAATGTAAGGGATGCCAGCGTGGTTAAATCGAAGAGTCAAGAAAGCTGTACAGTGGTACCTCGGGTTAAGTACTTAATTCGTTCCGGAGGTCCGTTCTTAACCTGAAACTGTTCTTAACCTGAAGCACCACTTTAGCTAATGGGGCCTCCTGCTGCTGCTGTGCCGCCGGAACCCGATTTCTGTTCTCATCCTGAAGCAAAGTTATTAACCTGAAGCACTATTTCTGGGTTAGCGGAGTCTGTAACCTGAAGCGTATGTAGCCTGAAGTGTATGTAACCCGAGGTACCACTGTACAATGCAACAAGCCTTTCTTTAAGAAGTGAGTGTTTTGGGTGATGACAAAGAGAGAGCACAAGCTCTGGCAAGCCAAGTACAAACCTAGACTAAGGAGGTCTCTGAAGAACAAAGAATTAAAGCTATGAAACTGAATAATAAGGGATGTTTAAAGTTCAGCAGAAGGGAAATCAGCCAGAGCAGCACTGGGATTGTTACAGCCCTAATCCTAATCCAGGAGACGTCGACCCAGGGTGCAGCATCTGAAAAAAAGAAAAAAAAGAGCAAATTCCATGCTAGGGATCATTAGGAAAGGAATTGAAAGCAAAACTGGCAATATCATAATGCCATTATTCAAATCTATGGTGTGATCACATTTGGAGTACAGTCATACCTCGGGTTGCGAACGTTGCGGTTTGTGCGTTTTCGGGTTATGGACCATGCCAAACCCGGAAGTACCGGAACAGGTTACTTCTGGGTTTTGGCGCTTGCACATGTGCAGAAGCACTAAATCGCGCCTTGTGCATGCACAGAAGCGCTGAATCGCATCATGGCGTGCGCAGACACGGCCCTGCAGGTTGCGAACGCTGCGGGTTGCGAATGTGCCTCCCGCACAGATCACGTTCACAAACCGAGGTTGCACTCTACCGTGTACAGTTCTGGTTGTTTCACCTCCTTGTGACATCAGAGTGCTGGACCAGATGGGCCATTGCGGGTTATTCTTACTATGTTCTTTTGTTAATTGCACTGCAAAAAAGGAACGCTTGTCTTTTTTACTCTCTTTAATCACCAAATCTGGGTTTGATGTTGACATAATACTACAAAATAAGAAAGGTAGTGGCTTTTTAATAAATCCCAGTATCCAGGAGATTAGCAAATGGTATATAACCTCTTCTGCTTTGTATATCTCTCCGTACCACAGCATGGCTGTGCGCTACCATGTTTTAAGGCTGCAATCTTGTGTGCACAGTTGCTGAGAGTAAGGGCACTACCAGACTTCAATATTCTTTGTTATTCATTCACATCCCGACAAATTTAGGCTGTGCAGTTAAAGCAGATTTGAAGCTCTTGTGAACCACACCCGCTTCCCCTAAATATCAGATTTTTTGGATAAGGAAAGTGTGATAACTCTTGATTCGATCCAACATCCTCTAGTGTCTCCCCAAACTCTATCAGAGTGAATGCCCAATGGTGTCTAATCTGTAAACAAAGGAATTGGGATGAGTGCCCCTCAGGCAGGTCCACAAATTCTCGGTAGACATGCACAGGAATGCTCTATGAATGACAATAGCTTTCTAATGTAATCTTGGAGTGAGCAATGGTTGTTTTTTCAGGGCAAAGTGTGATTAGATAAATATGGGTGGAGTTCAACATGCTATACTGTATTAATGTTCTATCTGCACAACCACATCCACTAGCCAGACAGAATGTCTCTCCTTCCCCCCTCCCATTCTCCCCTCAGAAACAATTTTGTGGGAAAGTCCTGTTACACAAACAGAAGTCCTTGTGCAGGCCTTTCGCTGACGGGTTTGTTAAGTGAATTCTGCCCTATGTATCAATAGAAAGGTATTTTCACAAGGGACATTTAAAAGGTCACTGGGTTTTTGTATGTGTGTTTGTAAATATGAAGAACACACACACACACACAAACACACACACCCGAGTATGGTATCCGTTGAAAAACAACACACTGGGTAAGGTATCAATTAGATTTTTTTTAATGGGTAATTGGCTGGTTAGGCACATTAGCTAGCTGGCAGGACAAAAATCTTGGGTTGGTGGAGAAATACCGTAGTTCCATTTTCTATGGGTGCTTCCAGGTGGCTGTTTATTGTTGCTCAGACATGCAAGTTTTTCACAGCACCCACATAATAATAATAATAATAATAATAATAATAATAATAATAATAAAAAATTTTATTTATATCCCACCCTTCCCAGCCGAAGCCGGGCTCAGGGCGGCTAACAGCACTAAAACAGTGCAACATTATAAAAACATTATAAAAATTAATTAAAATACAAATTGATGGCAACCATAAACTAAAGTTTTGTAAAGATTGCCAAAGGAGGGAGTCAGGCTGTGCCCTGACCAAAGGCCTGGTGGAACAGCTCTGTCTTACAGGCCCTGCGAAAAGATGTCAAGTCCTGCAGGGCCCTTGTCTCTTGCGACAGAGCATTCCACCAGGTTGGAGCCGCAGCCGAAAAAGCTCTGGCTCTAGTTGAGGCCAGCCTAACCTCTCTGTGGCCTGGGACCTTCAAGATGTTTTTATTTGAAGACCGTAAGTTCCTCTGTGGGGCATACCAGGAGAGGCGGTCCCGTAGGTACGAGGGTCCTAAGCCGTATAGGGCTTTGAAGGTTAAAACCAGCACCTTAAACCTGATCCTGTACTCCACCGGGAGCCAGTGCAGCTGGTATAGCACCGGATGAATGTGATCTCGCAGCGAAGACCCCGTAAGGAGTCTCGCTGCGGCATTCTGCACCGGCTGGAGTTTCTGGGTCAGTCTCAAGGGCAGCCCCACATAGAGCGAGTTACAATAATCCAGTCTGGAGGTGACCGTTGTGTGGATCACAGTGGCTAGGTCAGGGCGAGAGAGGTAAGGAGCCAACTGCTTAGCTTGGCGGAGATGAAAAAATGCCCCCTTTGTTATAGCTGCAATCTGTGCCTCCATGGAGAGGGAGGTATCGAAGATTACACCCAAACTCTGAACGGACGGTGCTGGCACTAATTGCACCCCCGCAAGAGATGGGAGTTGCCCCCTCAATCTCATATCGTCCCGTCCCAGCCAGAGGACCTCTGTCTTCGAAGGATTTAACTTCAACCGGCTCCCACGTAACCATCCAGCCACAGCTTCCAAGCATCTGATCAGTGTGTCTGGGGCCGAGTCAGGATGGCCATCCATCAACAGATAGAGTTGGGTGTCATCAGCATACTGATGGCAGCCCAGCCCAAAACTCCGGACAAGCTGGGCAAGGGGGCGCATAAAGATGTTAAAAAGCATTGGGGAGAGTATCGCACCCTGAGGCACTCCGCACACCAAAGAGTGGCGGGATGACAATTCCCCCCAAGCACCACCCACACAATATTGTCACATTATATTGCCATCCATATCTTGCCCCCCACCATTTAATCATTATTTACCCCATTCATGGAAAATCCAGTGTTGGGGGTAGGGGAACTGCTGCCTGTGTCCCATGATCTGCAATATCCAAGTGACCCATTTGTAATATTAAACCCTCACCTGGAAGCATTCTATGCCTCATTAGCAATATATAGAAATAATTTGTTGGGGGTCTTCGCTGTTCTTGGCATCATTTCAAAGAACACAAAAAAGAAGCACAGAAGAAGCCGAAATGTTACATCCTATTGGACTCTGGTTGTTTTTAATAAGCGCTGCAATTTTTCAGGAGTGTGTGCTTGGAACAAACATGGAATAAAACTCTTTACTAGTGAGACCAGAAAGGAGAGCAGTGCTCAGAGTCGAGGGGAAGGAGCTTCCAGGAAAAGATAGTAGCAATGCAAGCAGATCTGTGGTTGACCTTTTCCAGGTAAATGTTCCTTCTATCCCCATGTTGTCATCCCATTTCCTCGCTTTCAGATGATGAATTCCCTCTACCTTCTGGGGCTCTTCTTGGCTGCCCTGCCGAGCCTTCATGCACGCTCCTCCTTGCGCTTCATCGCTGTGGGAGATTGGGGCGGGGTGCCCAACGCTCCTTTCTACACAGCCCGCGAGGCAGCCGTGGCCAGTGAGATGGGACGTACGGCAGCTTCGCTGGGAGCAGACTTCATCTTGTCCCTCGGAGACAACTTCTACTACAGTGGTGTGCAGGACGCCTACGACAAGCGCTTTCAGGTCAGGAGGTGGGGTGTGTGTGTGTGTGTGTGTGTATGGAGAGGCTGGGGACTCCATCAGGACTCCAGGGAGTGCTGGAATAAGATAAAGCTCAGAGGGCTGCTGAGTTAACTTGGACACAGCACACAGCCTACACAGTCCCAAGTTGGGAGCCCTGGGGTTGAGTGCCAAAGGTAAAGGTAAAGGGACCCCTGACCATTAGGTCCAGTCACGGACGACTCTGGGGTTGCAGCGCTCATCTCGCCTAACTGGCTGAGGGAGCCAACGTCTGTCCACAGACATTTTTTCCAGGTCATGTAGCCAGCATGCCTAAGCCACTTCTGGCGAAACCAGAGCAGCGCATGGAAACGCTGTTTACCTTCCCGCCGGAGCGGTACCTATTTATCTACTTGCATTGGTGTGCTTTCGAACTGCTAGGTTGGCAGGAGCTGGGACAGAGCAATAGGAGTTCATTCCGTCGCAGGGATTCAAACCGCCGACCTTCTGATCGGCAAGCCCTAGGCGCTGTGGACCCCCCCCCCAAATCCTGAATTACCTACGTGAATTTATTTTAAAGTGTATCCAAGGCACCACCAGCACACTTAGCAATCCTCACTATCACCGGTCTTGAAAGACCTACATTGGCTCCCAGTACGTTTCCGAGCACAATTCAAAGTGTTGGTGCTGACCTTTAAAACCCTAAACGGCTTCGGTCTAGTATATCTGAAGGAGCGTCTCCACCACCATTGTTCAGCCCGGACAATGAGGTCCAGCGCCGAGGGCCTTCTGGCGGTTCCCTCACTGCGAGAGGCCAAGTTACAGGGAACCAGGCAGAGGGCCTTCTCGGTAGTGGCGCCCGCCCTGTGGAACGCCCTCCAATCAGATGTCAAAGCGATAAACAACTACCTGACATTCAGAAGACATCTGAAGGCAGCCCTGTTCAGGGAAGTTTTTGATATGTGACATTTCTGTGTATTTTTCATCTTTGTTGGAAGCCGCCCAGAGTGGCTGGGGAAACCCAGCCAGATGGGCGGGGTACAAATAATAAATTATTATTATTATTATTATTATTATTATTATTATTATTATTAGGTGGCCATCTGTCTTGGATTCTTTAGTTGAGATTCTTGCATTGTAGGGGGTTGGTCTGGATGACCCTCAGGGTCCCTTCCAATTCTACAGTTCTGTGATTCTATGATTTAGAACCCGCCCTTCAGGCAAACAGGCTCCTGGAGTGCCTGATAAGATCAAGATAGCCCCTGCTTCTGCCCTTAGGCTTACAATCTGAAAGACACAGCAGAAAAGGAGAAAATGGGGGGGAGGGGGGAGGGAAAAGCAAATTTCAGGCACCACTTTTATTTTAATTTTTACTTCTTTTATTAAAATGTTTAGAGAGTGTCAGTATGAAATGTTGCTGTGGAAATGGTTACATGTTAGATAAGGAACAACTGAAAGCCATAAATCTTCTCTTTCTTGAATGCACGCACATATAAGGGCACTATTCAAAATATTAGTATTTTTTTGGCGTTTTTCAGGTGCATGCTGTAAATTTAGGCTTCTACAAAGTGTGGATTATAGCTTTCTGTTGCCTTAACGTAACAAATCCGTGTTAAAAAAAAACTTTGTGTGGTTAAGGAAAGCAACAGGGAGTTTGCACTGAAAAGTGTGGGGTGGGCAAATTATTAATGGGGAGGTGCATAACCTCTGTACAAGCAAAGGAAGGAAGAGAGGCATAGTCTAACCTTCAGCGTAAGCTCTCTGCAAGCAAATCCAGATGAATGCGCGATAAACAAATTGTCTGGAGGAATCCATAAACAAAGGCGCTCATTTTTCTGTTGCAGGAGACATTTGAGTCAGTTTTCCAGGCCCCCTCATTGCGCAACTTGCCCTGGTATGTGCTGGCTGGGAATCACGACCATTCAGGGAATGTCACTGCACAGATTGCCTATAGCAAGATCTCCAAACGTTGGTAAGACTCCACTGCTGTGAGGCCTGTGATTTGTTCTTGTTGGTAGTTAAGCTGCAGGGAGTTACCAGGTGTGGAAAAGTTAGGGGACAGATTTTGCGGGAAGAGGCGAATGTCCTTGTCTGCGCCATGGGCCCCCTAATATGTTCACAGGAGAGGTAGGATTTGATCTGTAGGCTTTGCAGCCGACACCCTTAGCCACTAGAATACACCAGCAATCTTTTTTGTATATTCTTATTTATTTTCAAGACTAAAATCTAGGTGGCGAATAATAAGAAATGCCTTGATTACTACTGATACCTGTCGTTTTTGAGTCAGTAACAGCTACTGCAAAGGTTGATGAATGCATTACATCAAGAAACAATAGAACAAATAACTTTTCCCCTCCCTCCCAAAAAATATTTTTTTTGTTAGCAGACCATACACAGTGCATCCTCCATAATGACACTTCCCCAAAACTCTACTACAGTGGTACCTTGGGTTACATACGCTTCAGGTTACATACGCTTCAGGTTACATACGCTTCAGGTTACAGACTCCGCTAACCCAGAAATAGTGCTTCAGGTTAAGAACTTTGCTTCAAGATGAGAACAGAAATTGTGCTCTGGCGGCGCGGCAGCAGCAGGAGGCCCCATTAGCTAAAGTGGTGCTTCAGGTTAAGAACAGTTTCAGGTTAAGTACGGACCTCCAGAACGATTTAAGTACTTAACCCGAGGTACCACTGTATAATATAGGGACGCGGGTGGCGCTGTGGGTAAAACCTCAGCGCCTAGGGCTTGCCGATCACATGGTCGGCGGTTCGAATCCCCGCGGCGGGGTGAACTCCCGTCTTTCGGTCCCAGCTCCTGCCCACCTAGCAGTTCGAAAGCACCCCTAAGTGCAAGTAGATAAATAGGTACCGCTTTATAGTGAGAAGGTAAACGGCGTTTCCGCGTGCTGCGCTGGTGCTGGCTCGTCAGAGCAGCTTTGTCACGCTGGCCACGTGACCCGGAAGTGTCTCCGGACAGCGCTGGCCCCCGGCCTCTTAAGTGAGATGGGCGCACAACCCTAGAGTCGGACACGACTGGCCCGTACGGGCAGGGGTACCTTTACCTTTACCATTGTATAATGGAAGGCAAAGACGATAATAAGGTCAGGGCAACTGTTTACATGACAAGATGGAAATACCATACCAAAACATAAATACAGATGTTAAGCATCCCAAATTTGTATACAGTATGAGGGAGGATGCTGTGTATTGTCTGCCCTCTTAACATAATTAATAAAAGAAAAAGAGCTCCAAGTTGAAGTAACTTTGTCTGTCTTTGAAGTGCCATGTAGTTAGTTTCTCCCTAAATGCAATATACCACACTTTGTGGTACACCAGCTCTTATTGTGGTACACCAGCTCTTATTAAGCATCTTTAATATTTGTTTTTACTTCTCTCTTATAGTAACAAAACAAACAAGCAAGCAAAGCTGCCCTCACACCGCAGCTTCACTGATTTAAAATTTGCGCCACAGATTAAGCAATAAAAAACTTTATGTAAGTGGCTATCAAACCTCTTTCCTTGAGGAAAAATCTCTCTCAGCATCAAACACCTGGACGTTGCAGAGGATTCTGTGATATTGCTTACTTTAATTCTTCTATCATTTCAGAGCCAATGTTTCTATAAAATGCATTCGAAGGGCAAGGTTGGGTGCTGATCACAGGCCTTTGGGGCCTCAGTACTGAACGGGACTTATTCTGGAGTAGACAAGTGTACGATTGCTCTGTTAGTTGACCGCATAGTCCTTTAAAAAGCAGGTCACACAACTTAGCTGAATTGTATATTGTGTTCTCATCAGAGCAACTGAGGCATTGAATTTGTAGATTATTCTCCAGTGATATACAGAAGAGCTGAGAAAGGGAAGTACTTAAACGTTTCCCGATGGTGTGTCCCCCCCAAAAAATAAAATTCACACCCACACACCAGACAGCTGCTTTCATACACACGGGTGGGGGGGGGATACCTAGGCCCACATATCTCTTCCTCTCAGAGGAGAAAAACAGTTTGAGGATATTTAATGCACAAACAGCCGGGGAGGGAGTTAGTTATTTCTTCTCCTGCCTCTATTCCAATGAAATTTGGAGCCCTGCCAGCTGCATTGCATAATTTTTAAAAAGCCAGCCAGGGGACACTTCATAGACCTCCCAGATCGCATCTACCGTATTTTTTGCTCCATAAGACGCACTTTTCCCCTCTTAAAATCTAAGGGGAAATGTCTGTGCATCTTATGGAGCGAATGTGTGGTCCCTGGGGCTGTGGGGGGGGGGGAACCCGGGCTTCCCCTGCCAGCCCTGCCAAGCCCCTCAGCAGCTCTGGGGTAGACCGCGAAGCCTACACAGGGCAGTGGGGAGCCTTCATCCCGCTGCCCTGGGGAGGCTTCGCGTGGCTATCCCTGGCTTTTGCGGGAGGTGGGGGAAGGGACAGAGCGAGGCTCTCTCACTTCCCCCACCTCCCGCAAAAGCCCCCAAGAGCCGCATATTTTTTTTGTTGAATTCCCCCCCCCCAAAAAAAAGTAGGTGTGCCTTATGGTCAGGTGTGCCTTATGGAGTGAAAAATACGGTAGTTTGGGCCAGAGTGCCTGAAAAGGTGCTGCTTCTCCTTGGAGCTGTGAGGTGATCCTTGCAGATCTGCAGGTACAAGTCCTGGCTCAAAGTAATCCCCCTTCCGTTTTGATGTCTGCTTCGGCCAGCCCTTGCGTGGATTCCCCATCCCATCTCGTCCACAGAGCTTTTGTGGCTGTGGAAGCATCCCACCAAAGGCCTTGCGATATAGAAGCACCTTCTTCTTCTTCTTCTTCTTCTTCTTCTTCTTCTTCTTCTTCTTCTTCTTCTTCTTCTTCTTCCTTTCTAACTGTTTTGCCTCCCGCTCTTTTCGCTTCCAGGCACTTCCCCAAAAACTACTACAGGCTGAGGTTTAAGGTGCCTGGCACCAATGCCACGGTTTCCATTGTCATGATCGACACGGTGACTATCTGCGGCAATTCGGATGACTTCCAAAATGAGCAGCCCCTGCACCCACAGGAACTGGGCGCGGCCCGCTCCCAGATGTCCTGGCTCCGCAAACAGCTGGCCAACTCTCAGGATGACTACTTGTTGGTGGCTGGGCACTACCCAGTGTGGTCAGTGGGGAAGCACGGCCCAACGACATGCTTGGTGAAGCATCTGCAGCCGCTGCTGCTGAAATACAAGGCCACAGCCTACTTGTGCGGCCATGATCACAACCTGCAGGTGAGCCAAGGAAGAGAGAGCCCCATCATCTTTGCTTAGAACTTTGCTCTTGCACACTTCCTATAAAGACGATGCCCCTTGTGGTAGAAAGTGGTATATTTGGGCCTGGGTCTTGGGCTTCCTTTGTTGTTGTTGTTGTTTAGTCGTTTCTGACTCTTCGTGACCCCATGGACCAGAGCACACCAGGCACTCCTGTCTTCCATTGCCTCCCGCAGTGTGGTCAACTTATGTTCGTAGCTTTGAGAACACTATCCAACCATCTCGTCCTCTGTCATCCCCTTCTCCTTGCGCCCTCAATCTTTCCCAACGTCAGGATCTTTTCCAGGGAGTCTTCTCTTCTCATGAGGTGGCCAAAGAATTGGAGCCTCAGCTTCAGGATCTGTCCTTCCAGTGAGCACTCAGGGCTGATTTCCTTCAGAATGGAGAGGTTTGATCTTCTTGCAGTCCATGGGACTCTCAAGAGTCTCCTCCAGCACCATAATTCAAAAGCATCAATTCTTCAGTGATCAGCCTTCTTTATGGTCCAGCTCTGTTTCCCACCTGTAAAAGAGGGGAAGAATAATGATCTTGCTGCAGGAATGAGTGAGAAAATACACACTAAACGAGCCACAAGTGCTATTGAAAATTGTGAGAAGGAAGTTCTTAGTTCATGACCTGTGACTGTTGGGGTGTTGCTCTTGGTTTACGGCCTCTTTCCCCCTTCCTCCAGTTTCTTCTTCATATTGCTATCCCAACACCTGCCTTTTGCTTTTCATTGCACACTGGGAGAGCTGGTAGAAGTGGGGAAGCAGGTGGGCTCCTTCGCTAACTTTCCATCCCATGTCTTGTGTCTCTTCACCAGCACTTCCCTTTGACCACTGACCCTTGCGCCACGTGCGCATCTCCTGCTGCCACCTGACGTACCCTTTCCTCAACCTCTCTCATCTTTTCCATTCCTTTCCTTCTCCCAACTTGGTATGTCTGGCACAGGTAGCAAGTCCCTCTGGAGAGGAACTGTGCCATTTGATGGTCTGTGTAGAAATTGAGCGCTAAACATAAAAATGTGCCCCTACAGCCCTGTCTCTTCCTATCTGGCAGCCTATCTTGAACATACTTTGTCATCATTATTGTTGGTTGATTGATTGATTGATTGATTGATTGATTGAAATCTTATGCTGCTTTTCATTCAAATGAATCCCAAAGCAGCTTACAAACAATAAATAACAATAACAAAATACAGTGGTACCTCTGGATACGAACGGGATCCGTTCCAGAGCCCCATTCATATCCTGAAGAAAACGCAATGCATGTCTGCGCGTGCACAGGTTGCAATTCGCCGCTTCCACACATGCGCATGACGTCATTTTTACCGTCTGCGCATGTGCAAGCAGCGAAACCCGGAAGTAACGTGTTCCATTACTTCCGGGTCACCGTGGAGTGCAGCCTGAAAGCACTCAACCTGAAGCAACTTCAACCCGAGGTATGACTGTAGAGCATAATAGAACATCACAAGTACAGTGGTAAAAGGTAAAGGTAAAGGTACCCCTGCCCGTACGGGCCAGTCTTGCCAGACTCTAGGGCTGTGCGCTCATCTCACTCTAGAGGCCGGGAGCCAGCGCTGTCCGCAGACACTTCCAGGTCACGTGGCCAGCGTGACAAGCTGCATCTGGCGAGCCAGCACAGCACACGGAACGCCGTTTACCTTCCCGCTAGTAAGCAGTCCCTATTTATCTACTTGCACCCGAGGGTGCTTTCAAACTGCTAGGTTGGCAGGCGCTGGGACCGAACGACGGGAGCGCACCCCGCCACGGGGATTCGAACCGCCGACCTTTCGATCGGCAAGTCCTAGGCGCTGAGGCAAGTACAGTGGTACCTCGGGTTAAGTACTTAATTCATTCCGGAGGTCCGTTCTTAACCTGAAACTGTTCTTAACCTGAAGCACCACTTTAGCTAATGGGGCCTCCTGCTGCTGCTGCGCCGCCGAAGCACGATTTCTGTTCTCATCCTGAAGCAAAGTTTAACCTGAAGCACTATTTCTGGGTTAGCGGAGTCTGTCACCTGAAGCGTATGTAACCCGAGGTACCACTGTACTACATAAATCATACAAGATCATTACAACTATTGCACCCCACTGCCTTTCCTTCTTGGAGCAACACTGAGCTTCAGCAATACTGAGCTTCTCACAATCGTTCCATGGGCTGGAAGTTGTACCCCTGTCTCTTAAATAAAAGTCTGTCACATATACAGTGGTACCTTGGTTCTTGAACTTAATCCATTCTGGGAGTCCATTGGACTCCTGAAACCGTTCGAAGACCAAGGCACGACTTCCGATTAGCTGCACTCAAGCAGAAGCCGTGTTGGACCTTCAGCTTCTGAAAAACTTTCACAAATGGGAGCTGATTTATTCAACAACTAAGTCGTTTGAGAACCAAGGTACCACTGTAATGTTTTCCCGACATGCATGGGCGGGGGGATAGCTAGGCAACAACATGATGACTTGAGACACCCAAAAGTTATGCGACGGTGATACTGGTTTGAGCCTGTTCCTCCCTTTCTCCAACAGTACCTCCAGGACAAAACTGGCTTGGGCTATGTCCTAAGTGGAGCGGGGAACTTCATGGATGACAACAAGCAACACCTTCACGAGGTCCCTGCTGGATACCTGCGCTTCTTCTATGGCCACGCCTCTTCTCAAGGGGGCTTTGCCTACATTGAGATTAATGCCAAAGAGATGAGCATTACCTACATTGAGGGCAAAGGCAAGTCTCTCTACAAGACCTCGCTGCCCAGGCGGAGACGTTTCTGAAGATGAGACAACAGTCAGCATTGGCCTTGTAGGGGCCACAGTTGGCCTCTCTGACACACACAAACACAGCACGCCTTCCTCCTAGGGCTGAGAACTGGCATTGGGGGCCGAGAGAGCTCTAAGATCTCCTGTTTGTGAGGCACTCCTACTGTTCTGCACACCTCAAAAGACCCACCTGTACACAACCGGTCGTGGTTATGTAGTTCCACCTTCCTCCCAGTAGAACCTAATCTCTTCTGCATCCAAAGCCTTCCTTTCTGAATGCTGCCTCTGAATCCTCGTATGTGGCTCCTGCCCAGATATTGATAATGTACCAAATCCAGAGTCATCACTGGTCCAGCTTAATCGCCACCTGGCTGGTGGCTACTACGAGCCTTTGTCATAGGTGTTAGGTAAACGCCATAGGTGTTAAATTTTCAGCATTTCAAAATCTGCAAGAATGGAGGAACAAGCCATAGCGGGCAAGGGTCAGAGATCTGCTCAGCTTAAATGAAATCCATACCCTTGCTCCTGGCCTTTGTTCCAACCGCAGGATGAGGCCTCCATGCAGTCTTGCTATGCCCATTGCTGCTTCTGGGGGGCAAAATGAGAAAGGGAAGAATGTAGAATTGCCACTTAACCAGCCCCAGAGCCATTAACAAGCTGCCTATCACACAAACACATGAGAGGTAGAAGAACCAGACAACACTGAGTAGTCCTAATTCATTCCTCTCCTAGTACAAAAAAAGAAGAAAAAGCAGGGACTGTTCCCTCACTTACTATATAGCCTACTCCTGCAGCATGGTGTCTGTAGCCGCCATGAACTTTCAGAATTATCTCAAAGAAGAATGAACTTTGCCTACTTAAGATCACCATTCTGAAACTATCTGCTGGCTCATCTGTTTCAGGTGTAAACAGTGGGACTCAGCTAGCTGTTTAGGGTTGGGGCTGAAAAATAACTTTGCTCTGTCCGAGCAGCACCCAGTGAAGCCGGGAATGTTTGGATGCAGATGACATTTGGATCTTTCCCCTTTAACTTTTCAAGTACATGATCCTCTCCCTTCTTACCACACAGGCGAGGCTTTGCAGCAGGATTTTCCTCCTGTTGACAAACAGCTCCTGTGGATCGGGAGATGGTGGTGATTAGGAAAGTGGGGGTATGCAGAACACCCAGACTTAAGGTCCTCACTTTAGTAATTTTATTGCCCAGCCCCATGTCCTTTCAAGACAGTGGACTTCATGATTCAGTCGTTCATCCTATCCTGGTGAAACAACACTCTTCAAATGAAGATGCAAGTTTTGCTGTGTGCCAAAGGAAGAAGAGCTCCGTCTGCCTTCTAAACAGCCGCTATCGGATGAATAAGGTCTCTTCCTTTCTGGATTTTTCTTCTGACTCTTCTGTTTTGTATTTGATTCTGCTCCAGACATTAGTTGCTGTTATGCATTTTAAAGCCATTCACTTGCCAAGATGTTTATCTGCAAGATCAATGATTCTGTGCAACCAGGATCCAGTTTTATTCTGTATATGGGCTCCTTAGGTTTGGTTGAAGAAAACATAGAATCTTCTAATGTTTTCTTCTGACTAGCTTTTCAATAAATTACTTTTAATACTTCTGGCTTTCCCCCCCCACCAAACTGAATTTCAGTAGGGCTTTTGTGAAGAACAGTTTGCGTGCCTAAGTTGTTTTTTTAAAAAAAGCTCAGAGGTGTTAATTCCATATCTACTGGAAAACAGATGCCCCCCCCCAATATCCTTTCACAGAGAAACCAGGACTCTCAGGGCCAGCCCTACCATTAGGCAAAGTGAGGCAACTGCCCCGGGCAGCAGATGTTTTGGGGGCAGCAGTAGCAGGGGAAGGTTATTTCAGTTTTAAAATATGGTAGTATATACAAGATGAATAGAGTATGTGAATGGAATACAAAACATGCATGGGATGAGGTAAAGGTAAAGGGACCCCTGACCATTAGGTCCAGTCGTGACCAACTCTGGGGTTGCGGCGCTCATCTCGCTCTATTGGCGTACAGCTTCCGGGTCATGTGGCCAGCATGACTAAGCTGCTTCTGGCGAACCAGAGCAGCGCACGGAAATGCCGTTTACCTTCCTGCCGGAGCGGTACCTATTTATCTACTTGCACTTTGATGTGCTTTTGAACTGCTAGGTTGGCAGGAGCAGGGACTGAGCAATGGGAGCTCACCCCATCGCGGGGATTCGAACCGCCGAGCTTCTGATCGGCAAGTCCACAGCGCCACCCGCGTCCCTTCATGGGGTGAGGTACCATGACCTAATATTTCACTGCTAACATATAATAAAAGAAATGTGGTGCCACATCATCACATTTCTTTTACTAGACATAACCAGGGAAACGTCAAGCGGGTGGCAGACATTTTCCCTCACAACAGGGAGTTAGGCCTTTCCCCCTAATTCCTTTATCTCTGCTTTATATAAACCATGTCTACCCTTTCTGTTTCCAAGGACATAAACCAAAAGGAAAACTGTTATTTTACATTTAAGCCGAATACTGTTGCCAAGAGACAATGGCTGCAGTGCAGGTGGGGGAATGAACAGGTCGTAATTTGGCCTTTTAAATATTGAGTTTAAACAGACTTTAAAAACCTGAAGGTTTTCATTTATGGCACACACTAGGCTAACAGCTTCATTTCTTCTTCATGAGGAGGATATATTTTTCTCCATGAACATTCAGCTTTCATATTTATCAAGACATTCCAGACAGAACCAGGCTTGTTAGACACAGGACCTAATTCACAAATTAACATAAACAAATTCCAAAAGGGGGAGACACATTATTTTACTACAGCAACCCCCCCCCCCGCCCAGTTCTGTGGCACCTTAAAATATGAATATTATGTATGTGTGACATAAACACAATAAAACTGTCAATCTTTAAGAAGAAGAAGAAGAGTTTGGATTTGATATCCCGCTTTATCACTACCCTAAGGAGTCTCAAAGCGGCTAACCTTCTCCTTTCCCTTCCTCCCCCACAACAAACACTCTGTGAGGTGAGTGGGGCTGAGAGACTTCAGAGAAGTGTGACTAGCCCAAGGTCACCCAGCAGCTGCATGTGGAGGAGCGGAGACGCGGACCCGGTTCACCAGATTATGAGTCTACCGCTCTTAACCACTACAACACAATGACTGCTGTTTTTCAGGTTCAAAAAGAGTCAGAGAGATTAAGCACATAGCTGTCATTGAAGAAGAGGGAGTGATGAATTTTGCAGTTTATAAAGATAGGTGAGGGCAGGGGAGGACTTAAAAGAAACCAAACAGATCCTGGTGCCTCCATAAGCTAATGGTGAGATTGCCCCCAGCCACACTGGCCCAAACGTCGTATCTGCATTGCAAAGGCTGTTCCACAAGGTCAGCTGCTCGTCTGCTAAAAGGTGGTTGCATTTCTTCTGAAGCAAGCATGTCCTAAGCAAAGGTAAAGGGACCACTGACTGTTAATTCCAGTCACGGACAACTCTGGTGTTGCGGCGCTCACCTTTCTTTACTGGCCGAGGGAGCCGGCATTTGTCCGCAGACAGCTTCCGGGTCATGTGGCCAGCATGAATAAGCTGCTTCTGGCGAACCAGAGCAGCACACGGAAAGGCCGTTTACCTTCCCACCTACTTATCTACTTGCACTTTTTGGCATGCTTTCGAACTGCTAGGTTGGCAGGAGCAGGGACCGAACAACAGGAGCTCACCCCGTCACGGGGATTTGAACTGCCGACCTTCTGATCAGCAAGCCCTAGGCTAGTGGTTTAGACCACAGCACCACCCGCGTCCCTCTAAGCTTGTCCTAAGAGGCAATAAATATTGCCCCTTTAGAGTTGCAAGTTATTGACCATTAAATCTGAAGAGCTGAAGATGTGCAGGAACACATGAAGCTGCTTTATACTGAGTCAGACCATTGCTCCATGTCTACACCACTTGACAGCAACTCTCCAGGGTATCAGACGGGGGACATTCCCACCCGTACTTGGAAACACCAGGTCTTGAACAGGGAGCCTTCTGCATTCAAAGCTCTACCACAACCCATAAAGTCCTTTGTAAAGGTTGGGTGACAACTGCCGGCTTTTAGGAGAGGATATAACACCATGGCTTTATATTCTGCCTGACCTAATATTTATTTACAGCATTTTTATCCCGCCTCTTCGTTCAAAGAGCTCCGTTTTTCTCCTCCCCATTTTCTCCCCACTCTGTAGAATTGACCCAGAGAGACTAATGGTCAGTCGCCCAGTCAGCTTCATGGGGATTTGAATCTGGGACTCTCCAGTCCTCGTCTGATACTCTTAACAACTACAGCACATTGGTTCTATGACTTCAATTCTGCAGCACTTGTAAACTTGTTTTTCAGTTTCTGGCTACTCTCAAGAGATACCAAAAAGGAAGAAGAAAGATGTTATCTCTCTGGAGCTGGCTTCTCTTCACTAGAGAAGTGCAAACGTTGAGTCATAAAGTTCTTCATTCCCTGTCTCAAGTTACTGTGTCATTGGGAAATTTGTTTTAAGCTTGCATATGAAAGATGACACAATAAGGATATAAGCTTAAGTGTGGGGCCAGTATAGTTCCCATTTTGGTTTTCCCAGCAGTGCTGGGAGCCTTCCTCAAAAACTTGTAAGCGGTGTGAGTCTTTGGGATGGCAACTGGAAACAAACGAGACAGTGGCTGGTGTAATAAGAATTTTAAGGTCTTATATATATAATAAATGTTCATAAATGTACCAAGCAAACACGTACATAAATATATAAACCACATGTCTGAAGCAGCTCAGGAAGACAGTCCTGAAACCATTTTGACTCTCCCAAACTGACCAAATCTTTCTCTGCAAGGAGGGAATAAAACTGAAAAAACTCCCCATTGTCTCTGTGCTCACCAATCCTGCCTTAAGGGTACATTTAAGGTGTGAATAGGGTGAGCCTGTGACCTGGAGTCAGGAATTAAGTAGTTATAATAACAAAAGAGTAACCCAGATAATGCAAGCAGGTAACCTGCCAGACAGGAGATAAACAACACACTCAGGATTCTGTTTTAGATCTCCCCCTGTGATTTATGTATGATGCATTGGGGGACGTGGTCCTGGGCTACACCCCTTCTGTGATGTATGTATGATGTTTCTGGGG